TAAAATACTAAACGGAATATACATTAATTCTACATAGATAATTTTTTGTAATGTATTTCGCTGGGAATGTCTGGCCGCAAAATCCTGATTATATATACCCTTATTTTAAGGTTATCACATATCTGATGGTTTGACTTTTACCTCAAAACACAAAGAATCCACAAAATTCAGTAAAATTAATAACTTTATTTCCCTGTTGAAAATTCTCTGAATCTTTTCAAATATAAAAGCACACGCGCCAAGCAGTTTGCTTTAAATAAATATATGCAGCAACGAGAAGATGCGCTTTTGACAGCAACTCGTTTCGAAAATCGAAAATTTTTCTAAATGTAAGAGATTTGTCGCTTAAATTAATTTTTCATTAAACAAAAAAACAAAATAGAATCGCATATTATTAAAAGAATTTTATTGATAATTCAGATTCTGAAAACAAGAACATTGTTGTTATAAAAAACAAAGAAAAAATAAACAACATATTTCATTCAACGGGGGCCAATTTTGGCGCATGAACTTTTCAACATAAAAATATTTGAAGCATGTTATGGATAAAGGTTTATTTGATTATGGCAAAGTACTCGATGGTTATTTGCCTAAGGTGAAGGATGCCTTCGTTCGAGGACTGCCTAACGGAAATTGGCTTGCATACATGTTACACATATGGAAAACTAAGAATATCATCTTGGCAACCAGCCCGTTTGCCGGGATTCGAACCCCGGACAGAACCACCAGTTGTTCCGTTAGACTCCGCTCAGTCGCTGGTGGGCTGTCCGATAACGGAAAAGTTCAAAATTTCATATTAGAGGAAAAGTGGTAGCATAGTATAATTCGAAGTTATTGCCATTTCAGTAATGTGAAGAGATTTCAAGAATGTTTAATTATTTATTTAGCTTATGACAAACTAAATAAAATAATTAAACATTCTTGAAATAGCTTCTCTTAACATACTGGTAGTTTGACCTGCATTCAAATCCCCGTGAACAAGCTGATTGTATGGGCGTTTTTATGGTTTTAATTTTTTGTAGTGCGAGACTGTTTCCCTTAGAAAATCTGTCACAAAAGCATACCTCCCCTTAGACAGATCGCCTTCACGTGCTTAATAATCTAACAAGCCAAACCAAACACAACCCGAGCGAGGACTCGTAGTCAAGGCACGTCATCATGAAAAGCTAACTAAAATTGGCTCATATTCACATTAAACATGGGCAGCAAAAATTCGCTAAAACTGGTATGCAGGCAATCCATTCGTCAGGATTTGAACCCGCTTCAAACTATTAGTATTCAACGATTTTACCGCTACTTCGTTGGCGGCCTTTTGTAGTATCTATAAGAAAAGTAATCGCAAAGACACAATCATTGCGTACCGACGGATGAATTAAGTTCGGAATTTAAAGAATAACTTTCATTCGTGCTATTGCTGTTAGCATTGACATTTGGACAGATGTTAATTTATTTTAAATTCTTTTAATGTAATTAATTTATATCTTTAAATAATTGATCTTCTGACTGTAATTTTTTGTGCGGAGTAGTATATCTAACCCTTTTCGTACACTAACTGTTTTAATTAATTTACACTCCATTAATTTTAAGAGATTTTATATCGATAGATTTCTTTCCAAAAATGTTTCAAGGATTACATATTTTTTCTTTAGATTTCAAAACATTTTGGATTTAAAATCTTAATAATAAAATTTTTAAAACAAATATTTCTAGAAATTCCTTCGGCGTATTCATTTATTCCATTTAGTTGAAGTTTTCGAGTAGAATATCTTCCTTTCAACATTCATATAATTTTTATATGTCAGTTCGCCATTTCTACGGAGCATAGAGCCACACATACGAGTACAAAACTCAGGCATGCTGAAAGCACAGTTTTAACATTTAAGAATGTAAAAAAAAGAATATACCATTATAATAACGCGCATTTGAAATACGAAGGCAAACAAGAAAGCTGGTTGCAACATTTTATATTTTTTCCTGAAGAATCAGAAATTGTAATCATTTTTCAATACAAAAATAAAATATTTGATTCTATAACATATAGGCATAGAGGCGTCCTCCGTTACAGTTACAATTCTTATTTTTTCTTGTTTCTACTAAAATTCGGCAATGTACTATAACAACGTCGGATCCTGTTTGACTTTCATTTGTATAAAGTACCACAAGGCAAACAGTTGTTAAAACGATTTATCTTCTTTCGCAAACTTTTAGTCGGCACACAAATACATACCTGCTGTCTGACAAAGATACTTCACTCTAAGGACTTTTTCCTAAAGTGTTCTTTTCAAAGAGACTTCACACCCTATTAAGACCTTTGTGTCAACTGACAGCCACCTGCAGAAAGGTAGGGGAAGGAAGACCAGATCGCGTCGTCTAAACACGTCTTAAGCAATCTTCGCAAAATTCGAGCTTCGTGTATACACGTCTTAAGCATTTTTCGTGTGATTTGAAATTCGTGTAAAGACGTCTTAAGCATTTTTAAAGAAATTCCGAAAACGTTTAACCGCGTCTTAAGCGGTTAAAGGGTAATATTCATCGTTAATACATTTTGTTACTACAGAACTCCTGGAATAGCATGGAAACCTATCATGGAAAATTGTCATAATGAATCTAACCTAGCACGGTAAATTGTCATAATGCTTGTATTTCAGTCAGGAAAGACCACATACCTTATTACTTTTTTCTACACCTCTAAAAACCTATATCACCAATTCTTCTCTATCTTGCTTTATATCACATATTGGAATGCCCTTTTTCAAATTTATTTATTGCAGAAATATACAATTCTGCATTATTAAATTTTGTCTTGTATGACAAAATAAAAATCTTGTGAAAGTTCCATGTTATTAGTGGGTAAAATCATTAATCATATGAATTTTTATACTTCTTTTAATTTTCCCCATTAGTATAATTTAGGTATAAATTGATACAGCTATGTGTGGGAAATAAGTTTTAGAATAAATAAATAAAATCTTATATGACTATGCTTTTAAAATATTTTAAGCAGATAAGTAAAAAAATTATTCTTTACGTATAAGGCAGCTATTTACACAATATTAACCCTCTGAGCGTTATGGCCGTCTTTATCTGGTCATGAGATTTTTTTTTCATTTGTTATATATTAGCTTATAATTTATGATATTTCGCTTTCTTACTTTCTTTAATAACATAAATATCATCTTAATAAATGTAAGTTTATGAAAATAGAGCCTAAAGTAAGTAAATATACAAGTTTAGCTAATAAAGTGTCTTTGAATACAGGTCTTAATGACAGATCCAAAAACATGTGCCGCTCAGAGGGTTAATGATGAACTTAATTAAAACAATTATCATAATTTTACTATTTTTGATAACTGAATTTATATCACTTACAAATCTAATACTATTTTAAAAATTAATATTAAACTTCAATCTTATTACAAGTTATTTGAATAAACCAATGATTTTTCACGATGAACCACATGCAGGATTTTGCATATGCATGTAAAATTTTATGAATATTCAGAAAAATCTAGAAAATAAAATCAAATATTGTCTGGATTATTGACTGAGCTTGGGAATAGAAATTAGCATAGTGAATAACAAGTTTGTTGAAATAAATTATGTGACTTTCCTTAACTTTTCACGCTAGAAATAAAATTCCATAATTGCTTATGTTCCCATTCTAAATTTTGCAAAATCAATTTATAACAGTCACAAAGTACCATGACATTTAGTAATTCCAATCAGCACTTTAAACCTTAATATTATTAAGAAAATATATACATTATATTCATATTGGTCTGAATGTTGGTAATGCTTCATATTGGTAATGCTCAAGGATTTTAATTTTAATTGAATCATTATTCCAATTGGGACTTTAACCCTTAATATTATTAAGAAAAAACATACATTATACATTTTGCTCTGAATGTTGGAATTAATGCTCAAGGATTTTCACTTTAATTGCTGGGGGTGGGAGGCTTTATACTATGGAAAGCAAATTATGACAAATGGAAATCAAATTAAACTTTAAAAAAAAAGGGGGGACGTAATGTTTGCATGTTAGAACTCTGTGAAAGACACATAAATTTTTATTTTCATCAACATACCAAATTTACTGACTACTTAAGCCTTATCTACAACAAAATACTAAATGCAAAGAAATTTGCTAATATTTTTATTAAAAAACTATCATCAAGCTAGGCATGCTATCAAATTTTATACACTCCTTGATATTTTTTCACACTAGATGCCAACATATGCATCTAGAATGATTTATTGTTTATATAACCTTTAATTAGATAGTCTGCCATTGAAAGCCTTGGCTCTATTTACAATTTTAATGTTTTTATTTTCTAAATGATATTTTTAATAACAAAATTATAACGATGTGTTATAATACTAATAATACAATGAGTATTATAAGCTAATGATGCATTATATGGGCCATACCTTATCTGCATAACATTTGCTGGCACATTCACCCAAGGATTAATTAGTTTCAGTAATCATAAAACGAATCTTGCTTTAATTTACAAAGAATTTTAAACATCACAACAAAGTTCTAAACTTAAACTCCAATTAAAATCCACTCTTAAAATAAATATTTTCTTAATGTAATACTGTCGCTGTTACAGTAACCAACAACACATAAAACAGTTTTTCTGAAATATTTCCTTACAAAAGCAGGCAAGACTACAAATGATTCAGGAGGTTGAATTGATGATTGCTCATACTTAAATTACAAGCAATAATTTTGTTCATGATATTTAATGATTCGCTGTTGCATTTAAAAAAAATTAATTAGTTTATATATATATATATATTTGGAGACATTAAAAATAAAGATTCCCTCTAGTAAACAGGAAATACTTCAGCTTGAGAAAACAACATGAAATACTGAGCTAGACAAAATATTTTGTTTTTGCTTACATAGATGAAATAACACAGCCATAATATAAACTACTATATACTCTTTTTGAAATTTATCATTATTTTGAAATAAAATAATTTAAACCTACATCTTGAATTAAATCTGAAGGGCTGGTGGACAATCTAGACTTATCACCTTCCATTTCTAATTGGTAAAAATGCGCACTTGATGATGTTTCTTCATTTTCAGGCATGAAAGATTCTTGCACAGATTCTTCTTCATCATCAGATGATATGGTGACACATACTGCTACAAAATAAATAAATAAACAAATAAAACAGAATATTTAAAATATATTACGACCGTTTAAGGACTTTCACGATCAGTACAATATGATGACATTATAAATAAAATATATACTTGTATGCAGGCATTCCACACTTAATCAAAAGATAAAAGACTATAGGTTTATTAACTAGAAATTCAGTTTTCTCTATGCTCACAAAAAATCAAAATATAAAATATGCAACTAACAACACATTACTTATGTAAATGCACGAAAAAACTTGCAGAGAGTGAGAGAAAAATTGAGATGTATTCAAAATGAACGAATGAATCAATATCTTCCCTGTGATGAACAGTCCTTATTAAAATCTGAGGGAGGGGGGATAAAGAAATCTCTCTTCACCATAATATCAAATTGCAGAAAAATCTTCATGAAGGTTGTTAATATAATTACTCAGGTTTCTGTTGTACTTGAAACGACAATTATTTAAACACTATTGCTGGAAATTTTTGCTGAGCTTGTTTAAAGATTTTATGCAGGATGAGTTCATCAAAATTTCTAAGAAGAAAGTTGATAGTACAGAAAATTCTTTTATACTTAAGATGAATTGCAGAAGAAATTTTGAATTATTAGTAGATGCCTGTGAGGAAATGAATAAAGACTGTCAATAATATCTTTTTTAAAATAAGGCTTATCAAATAATTCCGGGAATTTTGATTGTAGCAAAGTAGTGTTGATAGAAGTTTTTACTTTCTTGCTTTTTTAATACCTCTTTGTGCTTTCTTGCTGAAAAGACCGAGCTGTTCATAAACTGCAGCATAAAAATCAGATTTATTATTGAGTTTAATCCATATGGATAGATCATTCTATATTGTAAAATATAGAGAGATTCCTTAAAAAGTCTCTTTTTAAGATTAGGTAGAATATATAAGATCTTAACAGCTATAATGTTGAAATCATGAAATTTAAAATGTTGTAGTTCCTAGGTAGTTGAATTAATACTCTTTTTAAAAATTGTAAACTTTTTAATGTGTGGTCTATGATTACTGATTCTTATATATTAGTAAAAAGTGTGTAATTAATTTCTTTTACTTTATTTGACATTGGAATTTTTACATATGGAAGTGTTTCTGCATATTTCATTAACAGATCTCCTCTGCATTGAGGAAGAGTTCAAAATTTTCCGGTAAACTATTATAATTAACTTGTTTCATAATTTTTGTATTTCCCATCTCTATAATTCTTTCGGTTTGATGACTATTGGATGAAGTTTTACGTTGGGATTTTGGATTTTACTGGTTTTCAATTTTATTCCTTTCGTGTCTATGTGCATTAGGTTCTGAATTTCTTATATATATATAATGTTGTATGATCTTAAATTCATTTAGTGCGAAAACAAGTTACTACTACTTGTGTAATTGCTGCAAAGTAAGTTAATACAGTCAAAAGTCGTTAATCCGGACTCGTCGGGACTTCGGAGATTCCGGATTATAGATCATCAGTTTAAATCTGGTAAGATGGCATGCAGAAATTATAAAATTAAAAATATGAAACTGTAATTTATGAAATAAAGAACAATTATGATCTAAAGGGTATCAAAATTTACAAAATAAATAAATAAATAAATAAAAATAAAGAGCTTAATATTTATTTGTTTACTTTATTAAACATTTCTTTCAATGTAAGTTGTTTCGTTTTCAATAACCTCTGGGTCACTTTCTTCTTATTGGAAGCGAATTATAATGACGAGAAATTTGATTTAAATTATATCAAAGACGGAGTACATCGAGATGAAATACTACATTTAGTAAGGAATTATACGCCAAATAAAATAAAAACATCTGCCCTGAAGATAAGGATAGTGCTGACAGATTAACTTCCAATTCATTGCGCGCCGCGGCGTTTCCCCCTTCCCTCCCGCTGCAAAACAGCGTGAAATTGATAAACAGATTTTGGAATGGTTAGAGAAACGAAGGAGGATATGCCTTTATCCATTTTTTGCAGCAATTCCACTTTTTGTTTAATGGACTTCGAAACATACTTTCACTTTGTAGATTCTTTACATATTACTAAATATATATCGGAAATTCTACTTGACATAATCGAAAGTTCAAGCTTACTTTTATAAAATTGCTCTAACAGTTTGCAAAAAATAATAAGCCGGATCCAATTCGAAGATTAAGGAACAATGCAATCTGCAACATTAACTGAATTAGATAATTTTAGCTTAGCTTATACCATCCGTTATACATTAAACGCGCAAGAATAAACATATTTTGCGCATGCGCACACGCATTTTCGCAGCCGTGAAGGTCTTACGCGCATGCGTCAAGGCGACGTATGCACAGAAAGTTTTGTAGCTTTGAGGTCCGGATTATGGGTGTCTGAATTAACGACTTTTGACTGTAATAATTTATTTCCTAAACAATATTGATTAATTGATTATATTATCTCCTAAGTTTAATTAAAGTAGAATTATTTTAAAAGAGTGAATCCATACCGGTAAGTTATATTTTGAAAGATGTTTTGAAGTAACTTGAAAGTAATATGTTAATAATGTTTTAACGGGGACTGGAATTGAATAATTATGAAGAACAAAATTTCAATTGTAAAAGGAAAAATTAAATTAGAAGCATGTAATCATTGTCATTGATCGGAAATTAGTTGACTTTTCAAGGGGAACAAACCAACTCCTGTTCAATGAACAATAATCAATCAATAAATACGTAAATACAAAGGTGTTTCGTCTTTACTCGAGTAATAAGGTTAAGCCAAACCGGCAATTCTAGTCAGGCCAAATATTTCCGCCAATAAAAGGGATTATGAACCAATGCTGATACTCGAAGAACTTATTCTTATGAAGCATTTTAGCCAATTCAATTTTGAGTGAAAAGCAATTTCTGTAGAGAAATCCGAAAAAACTCGAGTAACCGTCCCCGACACCCTCGTGTTTATGCATTTGAGTTCCATATTATTTGTAAAAATTAAACATTGGAAATTGTCATTATGAAATAGAATTCAAAGTATAAAGTTGAAATAAACATAGAAGATCTCCTAAGTTTAATTATAGTAGGATTATCTTAAAAGAGTGAATCCATACTAGTAAGTTATATTTTGAAAGATGTTTTGAAGTAACTTGAAAGTTAATCGTTAAAAATGTTTTAACGGGGACTATAATTAAATCATGAATAACAAAATTTCAATTGTAAAGGTTGTAAGAACAAACGAAAAAAGACCAATTTAGGTCAAAATTCTGCGCATTGTGCTGCAAAATTAAGGAAATTAGAAGATAAATTTTAGAAAGCTTGCCAAAAAGTTACCAAAAACTGTGGCTCCGAGAAAACTCCAACATAAGCATATATAGTTACTATGAAAAGTGTGAAAGAGGAGGAAAAATATTTGAATATTTACAATTTAAGTTAACATATTTAGTATCTATGAAAATGGTGAAAAGGAGAAAAATTTTTTTTTAATTAATAAAAAATTATTTTCTAAACTAATTAGGAATTTTAACATAGTAAAAATCAATTGAACATGGTGAAATAATTGGCTATATGCTCAATAAAAAGTTAATTATAAACACAGAAAAATACTAATCAATTGAACAAGGTAAAAAACAAAAATATTAAAATTAAGAAGCAGAAAATGGTTAATTAGCCCAATTTGAAGCTCATTTTTGCTTTTCAAGAGAAATTTCTTTAAAATGAACATCAAACTAAGCTAACCCCATTACACGTTTCGCCGAAACAGACAATTGAAACTTTACGCGACAAATTTTTAATGGATTAAATAACCTATGTCTAAAAAACTTTAGTCTCAATTCTCTGTTCCAATTTCCCTCTCTCTCTATATATATATATCTATATATATCTTACTGGAAGTAATCACAAGTGGAACTACCTATCACAGATACATAAATATTCAATATCATCTTTTAGTGAGCTGAACAACACTTTTAACGATTACAAAAACAGTGCCAAAGAAGGAAAATGACTTGATACAGAAAATTTCTCAACAGCAAATTTAATACTGCATTTACTTTCAGTAAGTAAGTGATAAACTACAATTTCTCTAATGTTATAGAACTTTGAAGAATGTTGAAATATATAATAATAATGTTGTACTAAAAGAAATATGAAACCTACGATAATTTTACCGTCAAACATATAAAAATTGTGTCAGTATTTAAAAATTTTTTTTGACTTAATATTTGAAATGACTGTTGTATTTACAGATACAGTCAGGTATATTTTTCTGAAATATATAAATAATAATAATAATTAAAAATTTTGCATTTATTTGTCCCCTTACTGCAGAAAAAGAAAGCAAAATACAATTTAAAAATTTTCAAGCCTACTTTAATCGAATAAACTACTGCAATAAATGGGTTTAAAAGAAAAGTAAATGAAAGTTAATACAGTCAAATATCGAAAATCCCCCGACCTGAAATCCGTGTTGCGTCTCAAAATATAAACATTTAGTTTATAGGTTCCGGAAACCGCAACATGGAGTACAAAATATAGAAGAAAAAATACGTACTGGATAATGATGTCATAATTACCAAACAATAATGAGTCATAGCAGAAATACCAAATTATTGACATCGTGATAAGAATTCCCCACCCCCTCCAATCTGCATCGATGTAAAAAAGCAGACGATTAACTCAACTTTTCGAGTTCACGCTTCCCGTTGTACTTTCTGAGCTTTGTTATTTCACAAGATTGTTTAGTGATGTCGTTTATTATTATTATTATTATTATTATTTTTTTTTTTTAATCCGGATACTTTGTGGATAAATTAAGAATATTTTAAATTTCAGTGCTTATTAATATAACGACAGATAAGAAACAAACGCACTTGTGATTTTACAGCTTGCAACGTTGAAAAACATAAAAACATTCGATTGACGGCAATGAAAAAAAGTGGAAATTCTGCTAAAGATGGAGGCAGGTGCTACTGCTTGGTTTATAGCAGAATCGTATGGAATTGCCATACAGACTGTGTATGATATACAGAACAATA